TCTTGCCCAAAGGCTATATCGGTAAGCGACGGGCACTCCAAGTATGTCTGTTGCCTAGGGGAGTGTTCCTTCTGTTTGGCCCTTAAGGCGCGGGTGAGGAAGAACAGAGAGATAAAGCTCAGACTGTTAGCCATGGAATGCTCCCTGTAACTTCCCTCTGGGACAGGTCAGGAAACTTCCCCTCCCCGCAATACATCTGTCTTCAGACTGTTCCAGTGGCAACCTTGAGGCATACTTCCCCTAAGAAAGGGAAGTCTTTGCAGCCTGCTGGGAAGACTCCCAGAAAGGGGACCATGGACTCTTACTCCAAGAAGTCAGCTGAAGAAAAGACCAGGTCCCTGTTGAGGTCCTCAGTCTCAGAGGGTACCATTGGGGCCAAGAACTCTTCCTCCAGTACCAGCAGGCCTGTGAAGTCCCGGAGCTCCAAATACAAGAAGATAGAGCACCAGAACCCTCCACCAGTTAGGAGGGTGAGGACTGGGTACCATCGAGTTCACCCCGTCATCAACTGCGAAGCATTTCACTCAGCCGTTGGTTCCATCATGTGCCTTAACCCAGCCACCAGTACTGATGCAAGCAGCTCAGCCAGGGCAAGCGGTATCATCTGTACCAAGAAAGTCATGGTGCCTGACATCTACAATGCCTGTTGAATGCCCATCATTGTTGATGCTGTCAGCTTCAGCTACAGCAACGACGACTACGGTGTCAGTACCAGGGTCGTTTCCGGTATCACAGGAATTCCAATACTCAAGGTACCTCTCGGGGTCAGATGAACCAGAGTCCTTGTTGACGGGTACTGAACGTTTCTTGGTACTGAGACCTTGGTCTCCAAGCGGCCATCTTGTGGTACAAGACTCTCCTGCATCCTCAATGGCTGCCCCATTGGAGGATGTGGAGGAAGACGACGAGGACTCCCAAGTGGTCTCCTCAATCTCAGTGAAGGGTTGTCCTACATACCCTTTCGGGAATCTGCCCTCACACAGGGAGGCCCTTGCAGGTCACCAAAGATGATGGAACCAGCTTTGCATGCCGCCCCCGCTTCCTTATGGACCCCTGCCGCGACCACATTGGGACCCATGGGCTGCCCATTGGCAGCAATTTAACAGATCACTGATAACGTCCTCCAGGGAGACCAGGGTTTCACATCCTTCCCCTCCACATCTGCCACGACAGGAAGAGACGTTAGAAGAGCAGGAGGCTAGAGCAGATTAAGTTATCCCTGAGACTCCCATTTCATCATCGTTGCTGGATGAGTCAGTTATGCCTCCACCACTTTCCATGGCTGATGGCAGTTTCAGGATCTCATGAGAACGGTGGCAAACACTCTGTAGATCCCTCTGGAAGTGGTCAAGGATCTGTAAGACAAGCTGCTGGATATCCTGCAGTTGGCAACACCCACCAGAGTGGCGCTACCTATTAATGAGGCTCTCCTGGTCCCCGCTAAGTGGCTAACACCTGACACTATTCTACCAGCGTGCAAAAGAGCAGATAACAAGTACTATATGTGCCCCTAAGGATTCTGACTTTTTATTTTCCCATCCACCACCAAACTCCCTCATGATGGATGAGGGGCATGAATGGGGTAGGCAGCACTTTTGGGGATCTACTCCCTATGATGAGGACCAAAAGCAGCTGGATCTCTTTGGACAAAAGTCTTACTTGTCCGCAGTTCCAGATCACAAACTACCAGGTGGTCATGGCCAAATACAACTTTACTAATTACAACAAGCTCACGGCTTTTATTGAGCAGCTGTCACATGATTGCAGGGAACAACTGTAGTTCACAGTTGCAAGGGGTCAGTCGTTGGCCAGAACAGCTCTCCAAATGTCTCTAGATGCTGGAGACACTGTTGCCAGATTAATCTCTACAGCGGCAGTTATGCTCAGGGCATCATGGCGCCAAGTTTGGGGGTTTCCAAGAGAGGTTCATAACACAGTAGAGAAACCCCATCTTTGACCACACAATAAGGAACTGTCTTCAATTCTTGGGCCATATGATAGCTTGCACTTTTGTGACCAGTCACACAAGGCTTCACCTCCATTGCTTTAAAGGTTGGCTCAGAACAATCTACTCTCCAAGGAAGGACTCCTTAGACAGGCAGGTGACAGTCCCTTTGCAAATAAAGCAACTCTGTGTCTGTGTGGACATCTCTTTCTGTCGCCCAACTCCATCATTGACTCTAATAACTGACTCATCCCTGTTAGGATGAGGAGCCAACTTCGGCGCACTCATGGTTCAGAACAGATGGACCTTGGCTGTATAGCAGGTGTTATTAAACAGTAGGAAAACACCAACCTGCATTGTTTACCTGCAGAAATCAAAGAGTTTCATCTATTGGTGCAGTTGTCGCTACCTCCAGCCTGAATTAGTTCCCTTTTCCATCATCCTAGATTTCAGATCCAGCAGGTAGACATCTGGGTTATCCATTAGCTTGGTCAAAGTAGACCTGGCTGCCATATCAGCCTTTCATCCCCCGGTCAAGGGATTCTCCATATTTGGTCACCTGGTATTGTCTAGATTTATTAAGGACCTATGGAATCTCTTCCCTCACATTAGACACCCCACCCCATCTAGGGACCTTAACCTGGTTCTAAACAGCCTTACGAGACTTCCATTCAGAGGCAACCTGCTGCTTACTTCATTTATCTGTGAAGATGGCCTTCTAAGGGCTGGTCTATACTTAGCCGCTAGTTCGGCGGCTGGGGATCGAACTTCCGGGTTCGATTTATCACGTCTGGTCTGGACGCGATAAATCGAACCAGGAAGTGCTCGCCGTTGACTGCGGTACTCCATCTCAACGAGAGGAGTACTGCGGAGTCGACGGGGGAGCCTGCCTGCCCCGTGTGGACCGCGTCTGAACCGCGGTAAGTTCGAAGTAAGGTATGTCGACTTCAGCTACGTTATTCACGTAGCTGAAGTTGCGTACCTTACTTTGACTTGGGGGGTTAGTGTAGACCAGGCCTAAGCTTCCATAACGTCGGCCCGTAGGGTCAGGGAGATTGGAACCCTTTACAATGTTCCTTACGTCCACATCCTCAGTTCCTACCAAAGGTTAGGTAGGAAAATCCTACCATCGGTTTTCATCTTACCCAGTCTATCCATCTTCCAGTATTATTTCCAAAACCCGATATCTCTTAGTAGAAATTCTATTTCTACACCCTGGAAGTTAGAAAGGCCTTGGCCTTCTACCTGGATGGGAATAAGCAGGTTAGGAGATGACCTTGACCAGGGGTCGGCAACCTTTCAGAAGTGGTGTGCTGAGTCTTCATTTATTCACTCTAATTTAAGGTTTCGCGTGCCAGTAATATATTTTAACGTTTTTAGAAGGTCTCTTTCTGTAAGTCTATAATATATAACTAAACTATTGTTGTATGTAAAGTAAATAAGGTTTTTAAAATATTTAAGAAGCTTCATTTAAAATTAAATTAAAATGCAGAGCCCCCGGACCGGTGGCCAGGACCCGGGCAGGGTGAGTGCCACTGAAAATCAGCTCACATGCCGCAGGTTGCCTGCCTCTGACCTAGACTCTTCGTCTCCTGCGCAGATAGCTCTAAGGGGGCTTCTATCTCTGCTCAAACACTTTTCGAAATGGATATCGAGTTGTGTCTCTGCCTGTATGAGTCTGCTGGTGTTCAGCCCTCTCAGGGGGTGAGAGCAAATTCAACCAGATCACAAGCAACATCTACTGTATATTTGAAGAATGTTCCAATATCTGAGATATGTACAGCCACTACTTGGACTTCGGTATGTTTCTGAAGCATTACTGCCTGCTCCATGCCATCAGATCCGATGTGGTACTTGGGTCTGTAGCACCATCTTCAGTTCTGGACTCTGTTCTGAAGCTCCCTTCTCCTCCTGGGATACTGCTCAGAAGTCACCTGAAGTGGAGCACCCATTGGGACACTACTCGAAGAAGGAAAGATTACTCACCCGGTGCAGTAATTGGAGTTCTTCGAGATGTGTCCCACTGGGTGCTCCACTACCCACCCTCCTTCCCCTCTGCTTCAGTTGTTCCCTTGGGGACACTGGGTAGAGAAGGAACTGAGGGCGGTTTTCCTGCACCCCTGTAAATAGCCTTGGTGTTTGCTGAGGCATAGGGTGCATATGCAGGCCAAACGGACACTGCTAGAAATCTCCAGCCAAGGACCTGAGAGGCACATGCACACCTGAAGTAGAGCACCCAAAGGGGGACACATGTCGAAGAGCTACAGTTACTGGTCAGGGTGAGTAACATTTCCATCTTCTAACATGTGGGATAGACATGTTGGGTCAGATGCATAAAAGCTGTCCTGGGGAGGCCGGAGAGTTGTAATGTGCATCTCCCTGCACCGATGAGCATCCCTGTGTCCCAGGGAGGGTTTGACCCAAGCTCAGACTGGTCGAGTTAATGTTACCACCTTCCTCAGAGTTTCCATTTGGTTGGAGAGCAGCTTTAACCAAAGCCCTGCAGGTGAGAGATGCAGTGAGAGGGGAGGATTCTATCAAGCATCCCAAGCCAAGCCCCTGTCCCTATTGGTACTGTCCTCCTATTGGGCTGTGCTGACCTCTGTGCTGCTTCCCACCACCTGAGAAGAGGAAATTGTGATGGTTTCCCTCCACCACACCCTTCTCTCAGGATCAGTCCCGTGCATTATGCTTTTCCATTTCATGCCTGATCTGTCTCTTGACTGGTGATGCCTTCATACGGTAGGCGTCCTGAGCACCGTATTCCCAAACGTCCCTCTGATTATCCTGTGTGACCGATGTCTTTCTTTGTGTGAGGCAGGTTGATTCCCTGCTCAGGATGCAGAGGGAGAGCAGCCGTTTTTATTCCTTGCAATGCTGATCTATGCGGGTTGTTGATTTTTGTGGGTTCAATGCCGGGGATCTCACCATGTCGTAAGCAGAGCTGTTCCTGCCAGGCTCCTACTGTAGTGGAAGGAAAAAAAGGATAAATTAGGGGGGGAAAAGAACGTTATTTTAATCACTCTGAAATGATTTTCTTGCTGAATATTGTTAGAACTGGATGGGCTAAGCCAACTGAGTTTCCAAGACAACCTATCCTATCATGAAGATGACCACATATCTGTTGATTCAAGAACTACCTCTGAGAGTAGGGGTACCATGCAAGCCAAAGGCCCTGGAATGGAGGCTAGCATTGCCCATAGCCTTAGCCAACAAGACACAGAAGGGAGCTTGCAAATGGAGACAGCGTTCAGCAACCAGGGATTTGAAGGAAATGACGCAACTGACAGCTCATCCGCTTGGAGCCCTGAGGTATGGTGAATTATTCTGTATTACACACACTGTTTCTGTTCCCTGGAGATGTCTGGGCTTCTTGTCCGAAATGTTACGGAAGAAATGAAGTGAAAAATCAATTGGCACAACCCAGGATAGTAATCCCTAAGTGCATGCATGCACACACCTTGGTGTGTGTTTTCCCTTTTCCTGATACGTTGCCTGCTGGAATTTTGAATAGACTTCACTAGTATTCCTTCAGAGAGGCTGTTTTCTTGCCTGATTTCACACACTAATCATATCACAACCATTTCCCGCATGACAGAAGTTACTACGAATTAGCTAACAATGTTTTGTCATGCTTTGAAGGAGGTAAGTGGATTTGTTACTGCCCGTGTATATGGTGTGTGTCTGTAGGGATACAGTATGTGATTACTGGGTCAGATCCTTGGTTCCCCTTCTGGCTGCTTTCCATTGCTCAGGCAGCATGAAGCGCCTGGAAAGTTGCCTTAAAGGGACAGCTGGGGGCTTCCCTAGCTGTTTCTCACACTGCCCTCCATAGACACAGAGCACATTTCTACAGCAGGCTGGGGAGGTTTACAGCCCCCTTTCCTCTCCTGCACCCAGCCTATTCACCAAGCAGGTCTTGGCCAGACCTAAGGATTTGGCCCTTATTTCAAAGCTAATACCTGCCAGCAAATATTCCAGATTCTAAGAGAGCCCTTATTGGGTTAGCTCACTGCTTACCCTTCTCCTCTTTCTATGATTAAATATGGGTTTTTCCTTTATTATTAAAAAAAATCGGGGGATTATTATTGACCAGCTGTTTAATTTCTGCAAGAGTATTGAATAGCATCCGATATAAAAAAAAAAAAAAGAAAAGCACAGAAGGTCACATCTCTGAGTCAAAAAAGAACATCCCTTAGCTGCACAAGGTAATCTCTTTGCCCTAGGAAAAACAGGGCTTGGCAGAAAATATTCCCTTCCTGTGAGCAAGCTGCTTCCACCCAATTGAAGAGAGTGAAAGCAGCTTCTCAGTGCATGGGCTTTTGACCTGTTCAAAGCAGACATTCACATAGAGGCATTAAAAATAGGCCGTACTTTTGAATGCTGCACAGATCAGCTCTGCATCTATGCCCTGATACACCAGAACCTCCTGCAATAAGAGTCTGGACCCTTTTTTCTACATTACTGTGAGCCATGATGTTTATCTATCTGTGGATCCTGTGCCCATTTCTCTGTCTATTCCATGCTCATCACCATGGTGCACAAGTGCTGCGGAATCTCGAGTGTCCTCTTTTCATTTATATTTTGAATGTGCCTATCATTCTGCCCCAGGTGCATGTATATTAACAACATGAACAGCGCATAGAGAATTACAGAGTTCAGATACACCTGGATCCTGATTTGTTTGCTGTGAGTAGCTTCTTGTCTGACCTCTTTATGTGGCTTAATGGAAGATTTTTCTCTTTTGAGTGAACTAAATGTTCTGACATTCCAGAAATACCCAAACATTGCTGTGCTACTTTCAAACGGGCCTCTGTTTGGAGACAAAATCTGTAATGTTGTGCTTCTGCGGTGGATATTCAAAGGGCATTTCAAGGCTGCACCCATAATTACCTGCTTTGTGAGATTGATTTATTTTTCTGGCAGGAATGTGTATTTTACATATATACACACTCTGTCCGATATTGATGATCTGTTCAAAAAGACACACTATACTGAGAGGGGTATTTGTCTTAAACATGTGTAGATTCGTACAGTTTAAGGAGTGAAGGGACCATGCGGTTATCTAGTCTGACCTGTCTATCAGGTCCTATAATTTCCCCCACTTACTCCTGTATTGATCCCAATACATCAGAACACCTTACTGGAAAAGAAAAACATTTATTTCATCTGGAAATACTTAACTCCACACAGCACTTAGATTTCAATGCAATTACTCGTATTTACAGAATATTTATGGCCCACCTGTAACCCATGAAAGTTAATGGGAATTTTACCAGTGACTTCATTAGGAGTAGGAGTAAGCTTCTGCAAGCAACCTCTGCCATATAGGAAACTTGAACATGAGCAGGTTCCAGACATCAGAGAGTTCTTTGAAAGTGCCAGCTGGCTGTTGACTTTGTGCTGCACCACCAGCACAAATCATCACTGAAGGTAGTATAGCCAGCCATGGAAGGGTAACACCACTGGAGAAACATTTTGTGATGCCAGAGGGTTGATGTAGCTTCTGCCACTTCTCCCACCTCCTTAGGGTCAGTGTGAGGGACATAGCCAAAACTAAGGGTACGTCTATACTTACCTCCGGGTCCAGCGGTAAGCAATCGATCTTCTGGGATCGATTTATCGCGTCTTGTCTAGATGCGATATATCGATCCCGGAAGTGCTCGCTGTCGACGCCGGTACTCCTGCTCCGCAAGAGGAGTACGCGGAGTCGACGGGGGAGCCTGCCTGCCGCGTGTGGACTCGCAGTAAGTTCGAACTAAGGTACTTCGACTTCAGCTACGTTATTCACGTAGCTGAAGTTGCGTATCTTAGTTCGAAGTGGGGGGTTAGTGTGGACCAGGCCTAAGAGAGGTTGGTCGAGACATCCTGATATCCAACTCTTCAATGGCTACTGTATTAGTATTTGGTGGGGGGACTGGTAGTTGGCATGATTTAGAGCAGCCTTCAGGGTTCTCAGCCAAGAGATTAGATTGGGACAGCTAGCCAGGGATGGCGGAAGTACAAAGGCCATCTTTGCATACTTTATCCTACAGGGCCGTGCATCATCCACAAAACTGCTGCTTTCCAGCTCAAGTACAAGTGGAGGCAATGAGTAGGTGCACATAAAGTTACATACTAAATGTAGTCCCCCGCACTGAATGTTAGCAAGCCACAAACCCATTGTGATCCGACTTCCTGAATGGCAAATGCACATGGTAAAAAATGGGAATGAACATGTTTGGGGAGAAACAGGCTTAAGTGCGATCTTTCTCATGCTTGCTCCTTAAGCCTTACTCCAGCAACCCGGTGGAAGCAGCTTGACAGACACGCAGCATCATTCACATGATCAGGTTCTCCGGAACAACCTGTCCTGCATTGCACTTACGCATGCAAAGTCCTGTCTCTGTGGTGTGCTGGAACAAGCCATTTGTATGTGCTCATTGGGTGTCATTCTTCTTTGGCTAGCATTAGCAACAATTCTGCATGGACAGAGGGGGCCAGTTTTTTACTGCATTCCTCTCTCTCTGTAACTTGTATTTGCATGCACCAGTCAAGTAACTGCAAACTACCGTAACCAGCCTATATGAAAGTGGAAATGTGGGATTTCGCACTTATACATTTAAGAGCCTAAATGTTCGTCAGCTAGATCGATGGGAGGTAGTTGAAAATTTGGCTTTGTTTGATAAATAGACCCCATTAGTGCTTCTTAAGGGGATCACTATTACTGCTCCTAATCTATGCTGTAATTAGATCCACATGTTGAAAAGAAATGTTAGTTTAAAAACGAAAGATAAAGGCTTGAGTTGCCCTCCTCCTTAGACTGCCAGCAATGGGCCTTGATTCGCCTTCTGGGTATTAACTGGAAACTTTTCCCTAGTCCAGTGTATACACATGTTTAAATACAAATGATGGATTGTTATAGTAATGCCTTTATCACATGAAACACATTCTATCGCTGAGATAAAAAGCACCTGTAAACAGAAACTCGCGCACCCCCATCAACAGGTGAAGTGAGCAACGGTGGGGTTTTTCATCTTGTTTAATCAAATAAATGTTTTAAAGAAGCTGAAAGAAAGGGTAATTTGAGAATTGTTTTACATACGTGTTGCTTGTATGTTTTGAGTTCTCATCATGAAAATATGAGGGCTCAAAGTGAAGAGAAGATTCGAGGCACTTTGGAGGGAGATGCACACAGTGGAAGATGAGCCAAGGAGTGTTTGATTCAAAGATTGCAAGGCAAGAAGGGACCATTGTGATCATCTAATCTGATCTCCTGTACAACTCAGGCCAAAAAAACCTTCCCCCAAATAATTCCTAGAGCAGATCTTTTAGAAAAACATCCAATCTTGATTTAAAATTGGCCAGTGATGGAGAATCCACCAAGACCCTTGGTAAATTGTTCCAATGGTTAATTACCCTTATGCCTTATTTCCAGTCTGAATTTGTCTAGCTTCAACTTTCAGCCGTTGGCTCATGTTATACCTTCCTCTGCTGGATGGAAGTTCCTTATGTCGATACTTACAAACTGTAACCACGTCGCCCCGTAATCTTCTGTTTGTTCAGCTAAATAGATTGAGGTCTTTGAGTCTGTCACCATAAAGCATGTTTTCTAATCCTGTAATCATTCTCGTCACTCTTTTCTGAACACTTTCTAATTTATCAACATCCTTCTCGAATTGTGAGCACCAGAACTGGACACAGTATTCCAACAGCAGTTGCATCAGTGCCAAATACAGAGGTAAAATAACCTCTCTGATTTGGAAGATGCACATGAGGATGAGGTGATGTCTGTGTTCTTATTGCAAATGGTGCTTTGCTCAGGATATTTCTTCACTACTAGAAAGACCCACAGTCCATCTAGGGATTGAGTTGATGAGGCTATAGTAATAATAATAGTAATACCTACTTCTTATATAGCACTTTTCATCGGTAGATGCCAACGTGCCTTATATTTGGTCTCTGTCATGTTTGCCGGTTATCCTATCTCAAATGATCTTTGAGGTGTTTGATTTAATAGGGCCTGTATAAGAAAATGTTTTTTTATATACACCTTTATTTATTCTCTCCATGGCAGGAACATGATGGAGGGAATAGTCTTCCAGCTCACCACAGTGCCCATGAACCCATTTCTAAATGCGGTGACCTAGACGTCATCCTCGATTATAAGGCCTCGAGCCAAAAGCTGCTGGTAACCATCCTGGAAGCTAAGGATATCCCAGACAAAGACCGCAGTGGTGTGAACACCTGGCAAGTTCACACCGTCCTGATGCCCAGCAAGAAACAGAGGGGAAAGTCGAGCATTCAGAAAGGCCCCATCCCAGTGTTCAAAGACCGAATGACCTTTAATAAGCTGGAGCCGGAGAAGCTGAGTAGCTACGCACTCAGGTTCCGTCTCTATGCAGTGCGCAAAATGATCCGGGAACAGATGATGGGGGAGCAACTGTTTTATCTGAGGAGCCTAAACCAGGAGGGGGAAGTGAAGGTGACACTGGTTTTGGAGCCCAGGAGCGATATGAGCGTAAGTCTATTAAACAATTCATTGCATCATTGGCGGAGGTGGAGGGGTACAGCTTACTCGGCTAATGCACCGACTTCTTCATTAAGGATTCTTAAACATGCTGCTGGCCCATTTCCTAGCACCACTGTTCAGATCTCAATTTTCATCCTGGTCTCAAGTGATGAATGTCGTCCATGGTACCCGACGCATTCACTAATGCTCCCTTTTAGATGTTTCAGTAGGATTGAAAGGGAGCAGGGGTGCATGGTTTTTAAAGTGGTTGTTTGCCAGAAGCTGGAAATGGGCGACAGGAGATGGATCACTTGGTGATTTGCTGTTCATTCCCTCTGGGGCACCTGGTATTGGCCACTGTCGGAAGACGGGATACTGGGCTAGATGGACCTTTGGTCTGACCCAGTATGGCCATTCTTATATTCTTATGTTCTTTCATAAGACAGAATTTCCACCTTGTATGCATTTAGGGACCAGATCTTTCTATGTAATCTATCGTGTTCTGAGGTTAGAGGGCCAAGTTTTCAAAATTAGGCACACAAGTTCCATCCACAAAAGATGAGTTCATGGTCTCAGACTAGTAACTGCTCATAAAATATGCAGTAGAACCCACAAAAAGGTCCATTGCCCACACAACCAACCTTCCATTTTGCATCCTTCATTACCCATTTGCTTCCACGCATGCATGTTTTCTACCAGTTGGACACTTTCTTTGGCCTGAACATTTTAAGCAGCCTCTTGTACATTCCAGAGAACTGCCCAGTTTTCAGAGTCCTATGTATAGACAGTGAATATCACCACAAAAGCATTGTAGCTGGGGTTTTCCAAGGAGTCTGAGGAAGTTTGGTGCCTTGCTTCTGTAGGATTTGGTCACTTTGCTCCTTTAGTCTCCTTGGAAAATCCCAATTTCCAATCCCAGGCCTGGTCTACACTAGGACTTTAATTCGGATTTAGCTGCCTTAATCCGAATTAACCCTTCACCCGTCCACACTACAGAGCCAGTTAATTCGAATTAAAGGGCCCTTTAAATCGATTTCTGTACTCCACCTCGACGAACGGAGTAGAGCCTAAATCGATTTTGTTAATTCGAATTAGGGTTAGTGTGGACGCACACCACCGAATTACTGTGTTTAAGTTAATGGGGTAGTGTGGCCGCACACCACTGAATTAATGTGGTTTAAAACCGAATTAAGGTGCTTAGTGTGGCCGCGCACAGTCGAATTTATACAACCTGTTTCCCAAATTCGAATTATCTAAATTCGGATTAATCCTGTAGTGTAGACATACCCCCAGATTAGATCATCTATGATATCAGAGTAGCAGGATAATTGTTGTGCCATCAGGTTGATTTTGAAACTATAGCCATTAAACTTCTTCCTCATTTTTGTTGTTGGGAAAAATTACATTTTCAAACACACAGTTTTGTGTTGTTTTTTCTTTTTAAAGCAGGCATGTCTTGTACTAATATTCAATCCTTTGGTAAAAAGAAAAATACTAACAGGTATTAAAACAGGCCACTCTTTCCTCTAAGGCCTTGTCTACAAGGAGACAGGGAAAAGGAGGGAATTGAGCAGAATAATTATTCCAGAAAAAAGTCACTCGTATTCCAGAATAGTGTCCATATAGGGAGCTATTCCAGAATAGCTGTTGCAAAAAAGCTTATTTTGCAATAGCTATGCCGGACAATTTCCCTGTGTATACAAGGCCTAAGACTTTTCACCATATAAAAGAAACTCCATATGAGATTGTGCACACAAAATGAATAATAAACCATGCATTTGCGGGGGGAGGGGGAGGACAGAATTGAACATGATGGTAACTAGGAAGAAAGCAAGAAAATATACAGCAAGTGACATAAAAGATAGAAGATTGTGCTAGACACATTCCATCAGAAAGTCATTTTCAGGGAAATTTACTCTCCTTTTGATGTACTGGAGCATATGTTTATCTCAAAGACTTTGATTTACACTGGTAATAACACATTAGACAGGGCTTCTGGCCTCTCGAGAGAGAATATTGAAAGATGTGTTTCTGCAAAGTGATGCTGGAGACTTGTTCCTGCAGTTCTATCTTCTGCCCCATTGTTATTCATGCAGATGATTCTTAGTCATTGGCAACTCCTAGAAGAACATCACAACCCTACCCAATTAAACCACAAGGCATACATTAAAGGGGGAGCGGTGTTGAGCATTCCAGAGGGACTCTCTTTGCTCTTTCCCTGCAGAGCGGAGACTCTCAGATCAGTCTGTCGGCAATCTCGCACAGCGATAGCGCTTCTTCAACACAGTCCCTGTCGCACGGAGGCGTACCGGAGCTGCTGGTGGGACTGTCATACAATGCTACTACCGGACGGTTGTCAGTAGAGATGATCAAAGGCAGCCATTTCCGCAACCTTGCTATTAACAGGCCGCCCGGTAAGTGAAGTCTCTCGTAATGGCACACCTATTCGATAGAGCCACTGAGCCACAACCTGGTTTTATTTTCTTGATACAGTTTTTGCCCCATCAAGCTATCCAATTAAAGCATTTCCCAATTGAGTCTTTGCACATTTGAATTTTACATTTAATAGTGAAATAAAAAATATTATTCCAAATGCATGTGCTGGTAAATTTGCCTGTGCATTTCGAATAAAGTATCTATCTGTGGTACTGATGTTGCTGCCATTACTATAGTATCAGAGCGCCTCACAATATTTAACGTATTTATCCCAGCGAGGCAAAGAAGTAGTATTAGCCCCATTTTATAGAGGGGAACTGAGGCACAGAACCACTAAGTGATCTGCCCACAGGAAGCCTGCAGGAAAGCAGGGCCTTGAACCCAGGTCTTTGGACCAGCCATCCTCTCTAATATAAAAATCGGAGCCAAGAGAACATATTTAATGCTTTAATTGTGTCTAGTGCTCATGAAGCATGACAGGGGGGAGGGATAGCTCAGTGGTTTGAGTATTGGCCTGCTAAACCCAGGGTTGTGAGTTCAATCCTTGAGGGGGCCACTTAGGGATCTGGGGCAAAATCAGTACTTGGTCCTGCTAGTGAAGGCGGGGGCTGGACTCGATGACCTTTCAAGGTCCCTTCCAGTTCTAGGAGATAGGATATCTCCATTAATTAAATTAATTAGATTGACAGCGATGCTGACCAAAGTCTGCGCTTTGCTGCCAATGTGCCTCATTCAAAGCTAGAAGATACCTCCTCTAGGGGCGAGTTCAAACTTCATGGCCCTTCAGTCTTTGGCCTGTCACCTCATCTGAGACCTAGCATGAATTGAGGAGGTATTTTTGGTGATGTGGTTACTTGCCCATTGAGAACTGGATGTGGACCATTTCACATAAGCCTCCAGACATCTACCTGATGGCAACAACATTTGGTCACTATGAACCTGGGCTCGATTTGAACTGGGGATCTATAAATGAAGACTCTTCGGGCTTGAACCTGCAGAAGGCTGTGCACCTTTGGCTCTGATCCACCAAAGCATTTTAGCACACACTTAAATCTAAGCATGTGGGTAGTTCCATTGAAGTACTTAATTGCTTTGCTAGATTGTGGTCAGAGTGCTCAGAACCTTGCAGGATGAAGCCCTATATCTGATTACCTAATACCCACAGCTAGCCAGACCCTGAAGAAATAAGATTTTCTTAGAATTTTAATGAAAATCTTCAAATGTGTTGTGGTCACAGGTCTAACTGCCCCTTTCTGGTCTCTCAGAGTGCCCCCAACTCAGGTCTTGGGCCTTGTGCTCTTTCCTGTCTCAGGCTAGAATCATGCAGTTCTTCAACTCTTAGACCAGGACCTGGGCTATACTACCCTGTGTATGAAACAGTCTTGTCCTGCAGGTCCAGCTGGCTTCAGGCACCTGTGGTTCTTCCCTTCAAGAGCCAATGACCAGTGGTATATAGGAACCAAACAGCCTTCTTAAAACCATTATTTATTTGGTAGTGGGAACAAAGTGTAAAAGAAAAAGGATTTTAGAACAACAGAGGCTGCACACATGTCTATCTTGCCTTGAGGCCTGTCCTCCCACAAAGGTGACCTCAGCAAGCCTAGCTTCCCCCTACACACACCCAGCGGGCCCTGTGTCTGTCTGGTTTCCCTGTCGCCCTCTATCTCGCTGAAGGTATTGCAGAGTTTACTTGGTTGACTGGCACCCAGATTAGCCTCGTCCGGGTGTGAGTTGCCGCACTGCAAGGCCATCCCCAAGTTACTGCGTCCTCGCTGGTGCGGCACTCACCCTGTGTGTGTATGTGTGTGTGACTAGCACTTGCAGGGCCATATCCCATGGTTCTTTGTGCTGCAATAAGCTGATCCATTTTGTGGTTCGTTCCCAGTGCATTGTGGCAGAACGTGTCTGTCCTTCTGGATGCATGGCGGGAATTGTGGGAAGGCACTGGAGGACTGTCATCATTCGCATGGTTTAGCCTGCATCTTCACTGCAAACTGGACAGCTTCCAGCCCAGGTTCTAACCCCACTCCCAGCCAGGCCAGGTATCCAAAGCTTACAACATCTCCAAACCTGGGATCAGAGGTTTTTCTGTGTGGATGGTAGTGGGGTTGGCCTAAAACTCGGGTGAGAGCCTAGGTTAACTGTGCAATGAAGATATACCTGACAAGATGTTGTTTTGATGCCTGCCCAAGTTCTTTGTTTTCATGTTTGCAGGGCCCTGGTTATTGCTGATTAAACCAGTTTTGTAGGCTGATTGGAGACTCTGACAGTGTCAGCAAAGCAAATAAGTCTGGCAGTGTCCCTTAGCACTTAAATATTTGCTAATAAGTGGCTATCTTGAGTTCTTCTCCCACTTCCTGCCTGTATCCAGACAGCTCACTATTGAATTAAATCAATACAATAAACACCATCCCCGTAACCAATACAATATTCATAATTTGCTGCAGGGAAGTTCCATATCTGTCACAATATGCTTTCCCATCCAAAGTCACATCATTATTTTCTGTAATATACTGTACTTGCATGCCTGGAAAATTACTGATAATGTGATGTCAGGGAAAAACCTATCAAAAAGAGAGCTCCAAACCCCAGGCTAGAAACTGCAGTCGTCACCACTGTTGGCACTCCAGTGAAGTAGTATGAGATGCAAGTTGCTGCTCTGATTAGGGTGCTGTTCTTTGGGTGAGATATTAAACCAAGCCTCTTTTCCAGGTAGAAACTAAGAATCCCACCTTGTTTTTGAGGAGCAGGGAGATAGCCATAGAGTCCTGGCCAATATTTCTTCTCTCAGTTAAACGTGTTCTGGGGTCCAATGCTGAGAGAGCTATTTTTGAAAGACATAACAGGAACTTTAAGCATAATGGGGCTTTGTGAAGGGCTTTGGGACAGCTAATGTAAAAGGCAGTGGAAAACCAAACCACTATGCAATGCGCACTGTACATGCGAGAAGACATTGAGAGAGAGAGAGCATGGAGTACAGGAGTGAGGTACTTGCTGCACGTAACCTCCCATGTCATAGCCCCCGCCAGCTTAGTAGCTGTTGAAATAAGTGTAATGTTTACTCTCCAGATGGCGTTGGGCAGATGCTCAGGGGAGGCAGCATGAGGGAAAGAATCTTTCCCACCCCCCTACGTGCACACAGACTGCAGAGTAGCTGCAGAGCCATTCCATGGATACTACTGCAGTTCAGTGCTTCATGTGTAATGAAAGAAGTGCTGGGGCTCAAGCACTTTTTTTACTTTCATAACTGACGCGGCGAGTCCAGAGGTGCCGGGGCTACGAACTGCCAAGCCCAGAAGTGCTGGGGCTACGAACTGCCAAGCCCAGAAGTGCCAGGACTCAGCACTGGCACAAATTAAGCATTGCTGTAGTCCAATGGCTTTCGTATCCTCTGCTGCCTATTGGTCGATCCACACCCACCCACCGCCCTCACCAGAGTGTAGGGGAAACAGCAGGAGGAGCTACACAGCAGTGAATCGTCCAGTTCAACCCTACCATGCTCTGTCCTCACTCCAACCTGGCTCTCTGCCCCACTGAGGGCCCTCCATAACTGAGCTCCATGCCTCATGTGGCATGCATGCCCGCTACACGGCTCCCTGAATCCACAGTGGTTCTGGTGCCTGGGGAGGCCTCCACACCTGCGGAGGCAGGAGCTACATTTGGACCTCAGTGATTTAGAGGGCAGCATCTTGGAGTCTGCAAAAGCTGTAAGAAAGAGTTTTTTGGGCAAGGAAAGAGTGTTTCCCCCCTGGATTTTATCTTGTGCATCACGAAACCTTCAAAACAAACTGTTGTTGAGAGCTGAACTGAGTGAGTTAAATATTGCAGCCTCCCTTATTTATCCTGCAAAAATGTCAGTGATCCATCAATGTTAATTTTTTAAAAATCTCAAGATTATGATGCACGTGAGCAGTTTTTTTGCTGCTTGAATTTCTGACGCAGCGTCTCCTGAGAAGGACTCAGAAATGGCATTTGAAGGTAGTTTGGTCCAGGATAGAACTTCAGGAATTGTTCACCTGGACCTGCCGGGCTGTAGGCCTGAGTCTGCAGTTGTTACTCATGTTAGTAGTTCTATTAACTTCCCTGGGCACCCTGGAAATACAAACAAAAGTAAGGGCTGCAGCATCAGCCCCTAAGTGATCCCTGTATATTTATCTGTTGTTACCGGCAAAGCAAAGAAAGGGCTGGCAGAGCCCTGAGGAGTTTGTGTGGCTGGCGAACAGGCTGGTGGTGTCAGGGAGCTGACATCTCACTGAGCACGTCTCTCTCTCACTGAAGCAGGGGTTTAACAAGGTGACACTCAGTCCCAGGCACCCTGAGAAAGTGTCACACGAGTGTTTTTTCTGTAGTATGTGCCTTTTTCCATGACGACCCTCTCCGTATTTTATCGCTAGCCATGTATGTATAATATGTATCTTGTTTTATTTAGTCCTCCTTAAACTCATCAGCTTGTGCTCATGTTTCCATCCATTACAGAAGAGAAGAACTTAGGCTAGGTCTACACTATGGGGGGGGGGTGTCGACCTAAGATATGCGTCGGCATATCTTAGGTCCATTTACCTGGCCGTGAGGACGGTGGTGAGTCGACCGCTGCCACTCCCCCGTCGATTCCGCCTTCGCCTCTCGCTGCGGTGGAGTTCCGGAGTCGACGGCAGAGCGATTGGGGATCCATTTTATCGCGTCTACACTAGACGCGATAAATCGATCCCCGGTAGATCGATCACTACCCACTGATCCGGGTGCCCTTATCCTCCTTTCCTTCCATGTTCTATTCACACTATTTTACTGGGCCCCAAGAATGGTTCTGGGGGTTATATTTTAGTCTCCTGGGTGTTTTCCTCAAAAACCCGGTATTCTCACTTAAGTGGGGGTATTTTACAGTGAGTGACAGCTGGGACCCGCAGCCTTGATAAATGCCCTTGTCTTATTTATTATTAATTGTTATTATTTATACTGGGGTAGCGTCTAGGACCCTCAGTCATGAACCAGCACGCCATTGTGTCAGGTACTGTACAAACAGAACAAAAGGACAGCTCCTGCCCCAAAGAGCTTGTAACCCTCTGCCAGACATTTCCTGCTGTTCTGTTTGACTTCTCTCCTTCCAAGCACAATCTTAATTCTTTCCCTCTGTGCATTTCTTGTGGGGTTCATGTTAATGTATAATGCCCCTTGTCAAACACTATTGTTCCGACTTCCCCTCTGGTAAGAATAACCCTCACAGCCTTTCAGCAAGTGCAGAATTAATCACACATGATAATTACAACCGTACGTGATCATTATCATACCAGCAGCATATTAACCCCATTAAACAAACACAATAGCATTAATGTTAGAAAAGAGAGGGCGGGGAAGAGAGAGAGAATGAACAAATCAAAATCGGAAAGGGAAAAGCTCCTCAAATCGAGATTTAACGGCTGATGAACAAAAACCAATCTGTGTTATGAGTAGTGGGGGCAAGAAGTGCAGAGGATACTGCAGATTATCTAGCTAAGAACTTCTATGATCCTCGTCACCATGGTATCAAAGTGCCTCATGATCATTAACAGATTTTATCCTTTCGACACCCTGGTGAGGCAAGGAAGTCCTGTTATTCCCACCTCGGGAACTGAACTACAGGGTAGATTAATTGACTCACCTGAGGTCACACAGAAAGTCCATGGCGGAGCCAAGAACTGAACCTAAGTTTCGAGAGTCCCGGTTGAGTGCCCCACCACTAAAAGATCCTTCCTATCTTATACGGTATTTGAGTGGGGTGAGGTGACCAAGACAAGGAGGACTAGGAGATAGCTCCAAGTGTGACTTTGGAACTTGAAACCTTGACTGGTCTTAAATTTTATCTGATGCCTGTTGTATTTACGCCTTCATTAATTATTTCTCGTGTGAATTAAGAGCTCTCTTTAATAGGAATTTGAACAGGGAGAGGTGTGAATCTAGAAAAGCCTGGGACCAAATTTGGGTTAAATTATGAGAATGCATAATTCATTAGCACAAAACCTTCCCCTGGGTATATTTTACCACTCAAACAAGTGACACAGCTCCCCATGCTCACCACTGTCAATTAGGATTTGGGCACCACCACATAATCATTTGAAACCAATCAAAACTTCTCCAGCCCCTTTTAGGGGTTACCTAGCAGATTTTGTAGCCCTCTCTGGATGGCTAGTCATGCCATGATCCCTCAGGAGAATCATATAGTCCAGTAAATGAGCTAAAATGGCAGCTGACTATAATTCATATTACTTTTAGGTGTCAGGGTTTTTATGGAATCCTTCAAGAAATATCACCAGTTTCAGGTGAGAAGTAAAGTAGAGTTCTTGCCTTGCCTTCTGTCTTTAAAAAAAAAACCAATGTTCTGTAGTGCCTGGGATAATCTGTAGAACATAAGTAGACCATAAGATGATAGGCAGTAAAAGTCCACACAGCTCCAAAGATGATCATCTATGGATGTACACCAACATACCGGTCACTGAACTGGGAACCTCCAGAGCGAAAAGCTAGAACTGCTACAGGTTCAGCCAAGCTGTGTAGGTCGGGTGCTATCCAGACTCATATCATCTGCAGATCAGGCAACATGCACTCACCAGTGAATTACAGACATACTGTAGTTACAACTAGTTGCTTTGCCAGGGGGAAAAAAAAAAGAGAATGCTTTAATTAACCCTTCAGCATCCCTTTATTCTCCACCCCTGAATTTGCCCCCAAATAACCCTTAGAATCTGATGATGAGTGATCAGCATAGCTGAAAATCAAGCAGTAAATTCATTAACTTTTGGCAAGTGCATAGAGATTTTGCGTGGGAAGTGCAGTGGAAGTTCAAATGATTATTATATGCCCAGCAGTGAATGGTGCCCAGTAACTTGGCTTAACTTAATTATTTTAAATGTGTAAGAAGTATAAAAAAGCAGAATCCGTACTACAGACTCACATCTTGGAAAATAAAAAGCAAAGCTATTTTTGAGTTAAGGGAATGCATTTGCAGCTGGATATATATTGATTCCAGCACCAGCTTCATTCCGATGTCTTTAAAACAAGCCGAAAGATTTTTTCCAAACACGTGTACAAGAATATAAACTGGTTCCCAGCGTAAAATCTTATTAAGCCCAAGTTTCAGGTGGAGGTGAACGTTTGCAGCAAAGCTGCAACAAACCCGAAGAACAGGATTTACAAGGGATGTGCTAATAGATCATAAAATAAAGCAGCACTAATGGGTGCTAACCCAATAAGCAAAGAAACGAAAGCTTTAAGTGCTGTTTTCATTGGGCCACAGCTGAGTTACGGTCTGTGTTGCTGAGAATAATACCCCCCACAAGCTGTATAGTAATGTTTATTTGATACACTCATTGCCATCTGTTAATGTAACACAATGGGCATGCTAAACTCTAGTTCTAGGAGCGGAGACATTAGGGATTTCCTCTGACACTTCACTTACAGTTAAAGTCCCTCCCCTCCCACTCTCTGGGGTTGACAGGTGAGCAAAAAAACCTGCTTCTCGTTGCCTGAAGCATTGATAGTGAAGTTTCCCGTCTCTTGAAAGGCCGGACACTTAGCACATCCAGAGAGGTATCTATATTATGCTTTAGTTGCATGAGCTCTTTCCCAGAGCGAATGTTAGTGCTGCTTCTCCTAGGGACTGGGTGGTTCAGCGAGCGAAGCGTGCTGCAGCCAGCTGGCTTCAAATCCTCTCTGACTTCACCAGGTGAAATTATATGGGCGTTCTCATGCTAGAACCCGCTGGTCATTGGTGCACCTTAGTTGTGGGGGAGCCTCCAAAGGTCTAGACTCTGAGGTTGTCCAGAACCTACCTTAAGTATCCCAGTGAAGATTTCAGTCATTTCCTTTTGGGCTCTGTTGGGTTCAGTTGAATGTAGTCCCAGGAACTAGTAGACCAAGAATAGAGCCCTTGTACCTAGTTCCTAACTGGAACCCATTTTAAAATTTCCATCTGGCATTTCAACCAGGGAAGCTGCCCCTGCCCTAAAACCAAACTTTCTGCAGCAAGGGCAGGTTCGTGTAAGGGCAGAACTTCTCCCCAGGATTTCCTGAAGCCTTCCCCCCCCACCAGTTCTAATATCAAGAAGCCCCCGTAGTACCCTGAGCAGTGGCCAGAGCCTCTGGCTTCATCATGACACATTTCTACAGTGCAGCGATGCTTTGTCAGTACAGACACCCGCAAGGTAAAATAAACTAAAATCCCCATGTATAACACCAGGAACCCTGGGCCGATTGTTTGGTTTGGTTTCATATGCTGTCCAGCTAAAAAAAAAAAACATTAAAAACAAAACAGAGTTTTTGGGTATCTGAAGCTTCTGGGTATCTGAAGCTTCTGCAAGATTCAGTTTGTGTGCCACCAAAATCACAAGCCATCCCGCAGAAAGTAGAGTTCAGCTTTCAGTAAAGTACATGGGAGGGACCTGTAGTCTGCTTTGTGCCACATGGATTATTCACGTTTCTTGTATTAAGTGGGTTTTTTTCCTTCCCAGCCACAATCACGAGACTATTTCATGACAGAATAAATTGCTCTCCTTTTCTTTCTACGGAGAAGATCTTTGCTGGCAAGCTTTACTTTGTCTCTAGTGTGATGCTGGCAGCCAAATTGCCATAGCTAGCTGGTGATAGGGCTGAACTTTTCCTGCAATAACCTGATAGCTGTACAGCTGTGCAGACTCACAATTTACTCCTCAATTGTCAGTTTCCTGACAGCTTTTTTCAGTGGAACAGTTTGAGGAATGGAGAGCCCTGCTTTTGAGCTACAGAAGTGTTTTCACACCTGAAGTGTAATTTCACACCTTGTGTTTCTCAGCAGATAAGTGCGTAACATAGCACATCAAACAGGAATAGAAAAGGATAGACGTGCTGTAGGAAGGAGACAGTGGGTTGTAATTTATTTCCTATCTTCAGTGCACTCTGAGGTGATATTAAATTGCAGGACCTTGGTCTTTGATGTTTAAAAAGGTTAGAGCTGGCGTGACCTGGCAAAGTGAACCGCAAACAGGAATAGGCTGTAAATTTGCACCGAGCAGGATTTGTGGGATGATGAGATTGGGGATTTTGACTGTAGAAAGCACATGATGTTAGTGGTGGTATTATAGAATCATGGAAACGTAGACTGGAAGGGACCTCAAGAAGTCAAGTCCAGCCCCCTGCACCGCATTAATGTAGTTAATACAGATGTCTGTACACTAAACAATTTGAACGGTGAATGAAATTGACCTTGATTCTGCTGCACTCAGGATGAAAAGCAAAAAGAGGATTTTATTGCAAGCTTGGGACAAATCCTGAAGTCCTTACTTAAGGCCAGATCATGCCACTGCATGCAGATGTCTCCTCTCCCATAAGAAAGAGGAGAATGGTCAGCAGCCTCCATTGAACCTGCCTCCCCCTTTCAGGAACCTATGAAGGGCTGTCTATGGGGTCATGATCTGTCCAGGATAGTAGGTAGTAGTTGTCTTCTTTTAATGGGGAGTCGTGAGAGGCAAGTGTAGCCAGGGGAGGCCCTGGTGGAGCAATTCCAGTGGAGCCATGCTGCCAGGAAATGGAGGAGGGGGTGCTGGGACCTCAGCTGGAGCGAAGATTCCATGGAGATGGTCATGGCCTCCCAGTGGGACCTGTGGGGTTTAGGGGCCAGACTTGTAGTTTATTATATGAGGCCAAGGGGCAAACCCTGCCTGCCCACCAAGACTTAATGATGAGGAAATCCTCAGAGTTTTCCTCCCTTCTTATGCCCCTCCCATGGGTTTTATGATGGAAAGGGGGGATCTGACCTTCAGCTTTTACTCAGTGCTTACTCAGACAAAGCTCCCATTTGCTTCATTTGGCCCCTTGATATTCCTTCGCTAGTAGCAAAAAACTAAACGGTTTCTCTTCTCTCTTTTGTCCCAGACACCTACGGAAAACTCTGCCTCCTCAACTCCATGGGCCAGGAGATGTCTCGTTGCAAGACATCCATCCGTCGAGGCCAACCAAACCCCATCTACAAGGAGACGTTCGTCTTCCAAGTTGCCCTGTTCCAGCTTTCTGACGTCACGCTGATGATCTCCATATACAACCGGCGCAGCATGAAGCGCAAGGAGATGATTGGCTGGATTTCTATGGGTCAGAACAGCAGCGGAGAAGAAGAGCAAAACCACTGGCAAGAAATGAAAGAAACGAAAGGGCAGCAGGTCTGCAGGTGGCATACCTTACTGGAATCCTAATGGTCCCTGAGCTCCTGGGACTGCCCACTGGACCCTCCCATAATCACCCCGCTGAAAGCAGCCATCCCATAGCAAACATTATGAACCAGCCGAGTCTATTTTAACTGAATTTTTAAAACTCAGCGCACTCAGTGAATGTAGGTGCTGGGGCCCGGTGAGCAAATTTACCTGTTGCCTTTGGGGGGTTTCATATATTTTCTCACCCAAACGATAACCAGAAGGGAAGTGGTTATGAAAAACACAAAGCTACTTTTACCCTCTTGCCGTCAATGCCTCATTGATCTAAATTGCTTTTGATGCTATTTTCTTCTGGTGTCATGTCTTTCTCCCACCTCCATTCCTGTTATTGATGTATGCAAATGTTCTTGATACACAGATGACGTCATTAGTCTAGCACTGCATGCCACTCGCTCTTCCTTTTACTACAGTGTTTCTAAATCCTAAAGATAAACATTTGATACCACTTAAGACTGATTAATATATTTTCAGGTAGCATGGGAAAGCACTAAAGATTTCTCTGTAAACTGTTAAGTGCCTAGAGATTGCCATTACTTTCTTGTATTAGCGATGATCTTATTTACTATATTTGAAGTAAGCATGTTTCCTTTCTTGTGCAACCTATATCCCCAGATGTTTGTATGAGGTGATGGGTGTCAATTTAACATAGTAGTTATATAATGCATCTTTAGATGCTTCCCTGTTTTCTTGGCTCATGGCTTCTATTGTTGTAAAAACAAAACAAAACAACAAAAGAGAGAGAGACTAAAACAAGCTGCACATCTGCCTTTGTGCCTAAACCACAATTCTTCTAGATCATCGTTCACTCTTCTTAGTTTTTTCTTAATGTGAGGTTCGCTCGGAAGAGTGGTTCTGTGCACAGTGGGGTTTCGTGGTTATTATCTTTCAATGACTGTGTCAAATTGGCTCCAAGTAAAAAGTGCTTTTTCAAGCGTCCTGTAAAATATTCCAGGGATCTGAAAGTCAAGGTGAATTCTTTCCTTCTCTGACATCACGAGGAGGGATCTACAGGCCCCATGGTGCTATCACTTCCCCTTGTGCGAAGCCACCTCAAGCAGTGATGTCGATGCACAAGAAGGAATAGAATCCCACTTGCTCTCTTAGAGGTGTTGGCCCTGGAGGGCTAACAGAAGTGAAAAGTATGAGAGTTCATGCCTGTATCTGCATACCCACAAAGGGCAGATGTGCTGACTAAGGGGAGGTGATTTTTAAGTAGTCGCGCTTCAGAGCGTAGTGACACTTTCAGTTTTAATAGTCATCTTTTTCCTGCCTCCAAAGTGGGTTAAACCCAGTGCAGGCAGTAGGTAGGGGAAGAAGGCTAATTTTGTTACTTGATTATTGATAGATCCAGTGCTAGCTGCTGCTGAGTAATAGGACCCTAGTGCACAGAGCCATACAATGATTGTATTGGTCTTACCGGATGAAGATCGGTGCCAGATCCCTAAATAATTTCAAACAACACCTATTGCCAAGTCTCTAACTTAAGCCCTTCAGCTGGCGTCTCTCCATTCCTACTGACCATAGTGAAGCACAAAAATACTCGGCTGCAAAAGGCTTTCAAATTTGATTCACAGTTTCTCTGTTTCCCCCACTTAGAGAGAATTAGGGCCAAATTCTGCTCTGTGGCACCACTACGAGTCTCACTGACTTCACGGGGGCTATGCAGGACCTAACATAAGCCCTGAGCCTTGGGCTGCATCTGAGCTACGGTCATTGCATCTCTTGCATCTACTAGCTCTTTTGCACCTGGAGATTCTCCCTTGTAGGAGGAATCTCCTCCACTCCCTAGTTAAGCTGGCATTACAGCTGCTGTGCACCACTGGAGCAGCACAAAGCAGCCAGAGCTGGATCTGGCCCATGTAATCTAGCAAACAAATTCCTTTTTGGCTGCAATGCTAATGCTATTGAATCACTGACTGAAAGGAAAAAGGAGTTCAGTTGAGCAGTTAAGTGGTAAATCCTGCAGTCTGGGGTTTATTACATGTTTCTAATGTACTTCCCTTCAGGATAAAAGCACAGTAAATTGCCCTGCTTAATGGCAGTCGTCACGGTGTTTAGTCATGTTTTGTAAATTTTGCATCATTTTTCTCTGACCCACACAAAATGTACATACTAGTGTTTTTTTAAAGAACTGTTCTATGTGCGATGTGTGTATAATACTGAACTTACAGCATTTTGCTTATTAACCTACTGCACATGCAAAATGCGATATGTGATTATATCATTCTAAAGGGGAATTACATATTGATACAAAGTTTCAGCCACTAGTGGAGATACACATGATTCTATATCTGTGGTGTTTTTAAACTCCATCCTCACTCAGCCTTGGAAAAGATGATTTTTCAGAGGAATGAAGATAACTGGTTTGGGACTTCCGCAACATTTCACACCAAGATCCATTTTGAAGTTACGTTATAAAGGGACATTGATTTTAAAATATATCTACACTATAGAAAATAGGTGGCCACAGTACAGCAAAATATGTAATTTAATCAAAACTATTAATTTTTCATACTTGGCTAAGATATTTGGGATTAGGCATAGGTTTTTTGTAACAATTGTTACGGCAGCGATTTTTTCGTGGTACCTTCCAAGGAAAATTACTCAATGGGTAAATGGGTGCTCAGAATTATTTAAACCCTGTTAATCAATAGAATGGTTCAGTCCAGAGCATCACATGTTTGTGGTTCATCTAGTTTCTGCTGAAATGTGTAGAAATTTAGTAGCATTGGAGCAGACTTCCCTTTCAGTGCTTCCTCTGACGGGTTTATGTTCTTTTTTGTTGCACTCCTATTAATGACTTGCTTCTCTAATTTTTCTGTTGAGATGAAGCTGATTATTCAGCAGCAGCATGTTCCCACCTGAGCCAATGTCCCCTGTCCTACATGGCTCTTTGCAGAGATGTCTTGGATTCGAGTATTACTCGTATTGGTGAAGTTGGACTTGTGCTCACGTTCTGTATTGTGCAAAGCTGACTGCAGTTTGTCATTTCTCTAACCTCTTTCCCCCCACAAAAGTGGCCGAGGAGGTTGGTAGATGAGTCTTTGGCAATGCTTCCATTTCTTGACACCACCTTTTGATGCGTTTTATTCAGATTTCTGCTCAGCACTCAGCTCAGAAATGGCTATGAGCTGTAGGCCTGTGTTTCTGTGCTCTCCATCCCTGGGGGTATAGAGGATCCTGTGATGCAGAGAGAGGAAGAGAGACGACCAATCCCTGATCCCACAAGACCCCAGGGTAGGGCTTGGCTGGGGCCGCAGTGAAGTGCAGCAAATGGTGGGCCAAGGTTGAGTTGCTGTAGTGTCAATTCACAGTGACTTCCCCTTATGCTCATGTTTTTGGATAATCTGTCCCCCATTTAGCCCTGTTGACCAGACTCTTTGTATCCTACTTGGATTTTTCTTTCCTTTTTAAAAATTCATCATATTCTTAAAGGGAGGAACTAATTGCACCACTCGAGCCAAGCATGCTGTGGAGAGGTTCTCTGAAAACATCACTTGATCTCTACCAGTCCACCTCTCCCAGTTGTGACCTCTTCCTTTCTGGGGTCTCTCCTCAGCAGAAACGGCCAGTCATGGTAGAATCTCTGCTTTTTTTTAATGTGCACCAATGACAAATAGGGTGAGCCACCACATATATTTTCTCTTATAGTAATGCTGAATTTTAATTGAGATCCCCAGAGATGAGTCTGAGGGCTTGTCTTCATATGAAAGCTAATCTGGAATAAGGTAGTGTGTGAATATAAAGAGAATTAACTACTCTGATAAACTCCATGTGTGGATACTCTTATTCTAGAATAACAGTGCCTTATTCTGAACTATAGCGTAATCCAGTGGGTTAAAATAATACAGAATAAAGCACTCTTATTCTAGAATAAACTCCATGTGCAGACGTTCTTATCCAGAATAACTCTACTTAGGTTTCAGAGTGGTAGCCGTGTTGGTCTGTATCAGCAAAAACAACGAGAAGTCCTAATAAATTTGTTAGTCTCTAAAGTGCCACAAGGACTCCTTGTTGTTTCTACTTATAGAGAAGCCCTAATCTGTTAATGAACTGGACCCCAGAGCTGCCTGTTTGCAAAGGTTTTATCTGGACTGTCTCACACTCTCTTAGATTGTTATAGATTTTTTCCATCCATGTCTTAATTACTTTTGGCAGTTAGAGAAATAACTTGGCCTATGTTACCCCAGGATTCTGCCGTGCTACAGCTCTGTTACTGTAATGCTCTGAGTTTCCTGTGTTTTCCTTGGGGGCTAATGTTTCAATGGTTACAGTCTCTTGGATCTGCAGACAATATGCGGGTGTATTTTTAGCTCCTGCAGATCCTACGAAGCAGCTTGATGCTTTTACATAATTGACTGATATTCAGTCATGAATGTCTTCAGATGGTCTTGAACTCAAAGAACTAAACACTGCCAGCTGCTATTCATTTTTTTTTCTTCAGCGCAGAGTCTCAGGTGACATCTTGCAGAGGGAGAGGGTTTCCTTTGGTGGCAGGCCTCTATTCTTCAGATACAGCTGGTGATGACCTTGGAGCCGGCATATGTGCTGAAGCTTGTTTTGTTGTTGCTGTTGTGTTTTTTTGTCAGTCCCACAGTTGTTATCAACTTTAATAGGATAACTGGTGAGCAAAAAGATGAAGTGAAGCAATCTGTTACCCTTCAACATGAGTCGCTAACATATAGCTGGAGAGTGGGATATGGCCTTCCACATTCTGTTACCCTGACACTATAGTTTCGTTGGCTCCTAGGAAAGCAGTGGGTTAATCTGAAGATTATGGTTGTAATTTACGAGCTTCTGTCTGACCCAGGCTTGGTCTGCACACAGATTTTTGTATTGGTATCACTATGTTGGTAGGAGAGGTGGCTTTTTTCTTTTTTTTTTTCTAAATAAAAATAATTACAGCATACACTTATACTGGTGTGAAGGGCCCTTATAGCAGTACATCTTATTCCCTTTTGTAAAGCACATTTATGCCAATA